TAGAATAGAATAGAATAGAATAGAATAGAATAGAATAGAATAGAATAGAATACTTTATTGGCTGAGTGTGATTGGACACACAGGGAATTTGTCTTGGTGTAAATACTCTCAGTATATGTAAAAGAAAAGATACATTCGTCAGGAGTCGAGACAAGAGGATCTCTTGGTGGTCTCCCATCCCATCATTAGTCAAATGGCATCCTATTTTGTTTTTCAAGCTCAGAGAAGGTGGGCAAGGACAGTACCTTGTATTTAGATGTGTCAGTTGTATGTGTATATGTATATATGCGTATATAAACATACAGAGAGAGAGAGAGAGAGTCTTCAAGTTGCAATCATTTGTTTAGCAATCATTCAAAGTGACAAGAGCACTGAAAAAGTCCTCAAAATTGCAGCCGCTGCAGCATCCTTGTTTTGTATGAATAGATTCAGTTGCTTGGCAACCGGCATGTGTTTATGACGCTTGTAGCATCCTGTGGTCGAGTGAACTCCAATTGCCACCTTCCCTGCTGGATTTTGACAAAGAAAGTCAATAGAAGCTGGCTTTGCTTAACATCCACTTGATTCACTTAACAACTGCACTTAACAGCCACGGCGGGATAGATCATAAAATTGGGCATTACTCCCTGTTGCTTAGCAATACAGGTAGTCCTTAACTTATGACCATAACTGAGTGCAAAATTTATGTTGCTAAGTGAGAAATTTGTTAAGTGAGTTTTGCTCCATTTTACAATTTTTTTTTGCCACATTTGTTAAGTGAACCACTGCAGTTGTTATATTAGTAACACAGTTGTTAAGTGAATCTGGATTCCCCATTGATATTTGCTGGTCAGAAGGTCGCAACAGATGATCACATGACCCTGGGACACAGCAACCATCATAAATGTGAGTCAGTTGTCAAGCATTTGAAGTTAAATCACATGTCCATGGGGATGCTGCCATATTCATACGTTTGAAAAACAGTCATGAGTCATTTTGTTCAGTGCCATCATGACTTCAAACGGTCACTAAGTGAACTGTTGTAAGTCAACAACCTGTACAGATCGTGGTCCCCACTGTGGTTGCAAATTGAGGACTGACTGTAAATCACTTTTTAGTCCATCGATCAATCCTCCCAGAGGAAAAAAGATTGAAAAGTTTTGAAAGCTCCACCTTATTGGAGACAATAACTTGGTCTTCAACACCAATTAAGACCAAGTAGCTTATATAGAAGGAACAGATCAGACATCCAACCCTTGCTTATCAATGGAGACCGAGTGGAACAAGTGGAACAAGTTTTAAGTTCTGGGTGTTACCCCAAAAGAGGACCTGACCTGGGGTGCTCACATTGCAGCCCTGGTCAAAAGGGCCCAGCAGAGATTATACCGCCTGAGACTTCTCAGAAAACAACAACTGAATGAAAAACTGCTGGTGACCTTCTATTGCTGCACCACAGAGAGTATCTTAACTTATTGCACCTCTGTATGGTTTGCCAATTGCACAGTGGCTGATAGGAAAGCACTCCAGAGGGTTAATGTCATTGCCCAGAGGATCATGGGTTGCCCTCTCCCCTCTTTGGAAGAGCTTTATAGCTCCAGCTGCCTTCAGAAAGCTCAAAACATTCTCAAAGATCCATCTCATCCTGGGACCCCCCCCCCCTTTTTTTTTTTTGAACTATTACCATCTGGCAGACGGTACAGGATAATAAAAACAAGGACAAACAGGCTGAAAAACTACCCCAGGGCAGTAGCTCTGTTGAATTCTATTGCAGAGTGCAGTGTTGGTGTGGTGTTGGGATTTTCAATTCAATGTGTGGAGTGTGAAGGATGTGTGCTTGTGTTTATTTTCATGGTCATGATGTGCACTGAAGATGGTGTTTGATTTCATTGTATGAGGTGCAATGACAATAAACTAAACTAAGTGATCTCACTATTAGAGGACAGGAGAGATTTCCTATCACAGTTCTCCAGATTCTGTACTCTAACCCTTCATTCTTAGCATTAAAATTCACTCAAGAAGGTCTGGGTGAATCTTGTTTCCTTAACTGCACTCTGCATTTAATAGGTTTGGCAAGGCTGCTAAATGGCTGAGTCCACCCCACACTATTATCTTGGTCAGTTAATTAGTCCACCTTCTGTGTTCACTGAATCTTAATCAAGTGGGCACATCACACGGCACCCTATTGACTATCAGCCAAACTTTGTTCTTTGCGCAAAGGCAGCCAATACATCTTGAACCAACGTGGTTAAGTGAGCTGTATGAACCCAAACAGACGTCAAACATCGTTTGAAAGGGGAATATTGCATCAATTTCCCCTGACAGAAGCTGCCCATTGAATCCGGAATCCTGTTGTGGTTTGCCAGCAGCAGATGCGGATGGCTGAGGTCTCGGAGAGTGAGGACTCAGATGAGGGGCCTGCCTGTGATGCAGGGATGGGGCCAGGACCATCAGGGAGTGGAGTGCTGCCTTTGGAGATTGTAGAGGCTAGCAGCAGTGATGAAGAGGCCCCCGAGGAGCCTGTGCCCAGCGCGCATGCACGCAGGGCTGCCCGAAGGAAAGAGCAGCTGCAGCAGCACGGGCGACTCGGGAGAAAGGCTGCAAGGTAACGGCCCCTCCCAGAGGAGTTAAAAGCCAGCTGAGAAACCGCAGTTCTTTGCAGGAGGCAAAGAAGTTCTACACTTGAGCCTGGTGGACGTTAGGAATATCTGAGTTGGTGTTGGAGACTCTTTGTGTTTGCATTATTGCTTAGTAACTTTATCTGGTGTTCTTGGCAGCCTTGCAAAACCTTGGCAAGGCTCTTTCTTATCGGAGCTAATTGGTTTGAAGCAGCCTTTTACCTGTGAAGGAATGGGATTCGTAAAGAAACCTGAAAAGGTTGTGCTGTTACTTTTATCTCATGTTTGCTTCCTTGGAACCAGGTTTGGGTCAGAACAAATCCTCTTTTTATAGAAAGGGAAAAACACATGGCTTTGGAGTAAGCAATTCTTGGCAACCAAATCCAAGCCTCCTTTAAAATTGCTCCTACTATTATTCTTGTTCTTGTTTTTTGTGTCTGTCCCCCCCAGTTCCTACTATAGCTGGAACTCCTTCCTCCACAGAGAAGCAATCACCTTCTTCCCATTTCTGTAAAGAGCTAAGTTTGTTTGGAGGGAGGGAGGGAGGGGGGAAGAAAGGAGAAAAGGAATCTTACTTGCAGTGTCATCTGAAGAAAGTCTTTTATTTCTTTATTTTATTTGTCAAGCATGTATTAGGTAACAGGTATAATTAGGACATGATTATTGATTACATGAAATGGGTACAAATAAAAGGGCAGGGACGGTAGGCACGTTGGTGCACTCATGCACATCCCTTACAGATCTCTTAGGAATCGGGTGGGGTCAACAGTAGACAGTCTAAGGTTAAAGTTTTTGGAGTTTGGGGCAGTAGTGGGATTCAAAATTTTTTACAACTGGTCCTGTGGGCGTGGCTTGGTGGACATGGCTTGGCTTGGTGGGCGTGGCTTGGTGGGCGTGGCAGGGGAAGGATACTGCAAAAAAATCTCCATTTCCACCCCCCCTTCCCCACCCAACTAACCTGCTTTCCAGTTCTGTTCTCCTGTGCAGGGCAACCAAAGAAGAGCCAGCTGATCAGCTGGGATTCAATGGGAGGCAGAGAATAGATGGGGGCGGGGCCAGTCAGAGGTGGGATTTGCCGGTTCTCTGAACTACTCAAAATTTCCTCTACCGGTTCTTCAGAACTGGTCAGAACCTGCTTCAATACCACCTCTGGTTTGGGGAAGAAACCACTGAGTCAGGTAGTGTATTCCAGGCATTGATAACTATGTTGCTAAAGTATTTCAGCTTGAGTTGTCTTGGCGTTGTCGCAGCCATGGTGTCTCTGAGTTCAATTTGTTGCCTGACTATCACAGGTCTATTAAAAAATACTTATACTGAAACAGTAAAATTAGATAGTAAAAAAAAAAAAAAAAAGATCCAAGCAATCTTATCAGTGCTGGTTCATTGATAAGACCACAGAAGGAAAACATTCCTGCTGTTTTGTTTATTTATTTAGTTTGTTTGTTTGTCAAGCATGTATGAGAAAACAAGTAT